TGCAGTAATCAGGTGAAGGGAGATCTTTCTAATCTGAAATTAGAACTGAGTCAAGCCATAAGGAATCGAGAATCAGGAAGGTTTCTACGAGACTACGTCCAACACTGTCTTCAAGAGCCTCACTCCCGGAAAGCAGAAGTTCATCAAAAAGAAAAAACCTTTGGTGCACTTCTGAAATGAAAGTAATTAGTGCCAGCACTCTCTCTCGCTGGCACTGAAGACTCAGATGCTACCTTGGAGGAGAATGGCTTGGGGAAGGAAGGAGATGTTGCAGTTATGAGCAGAGGCTGGTCTGTGGGAACATCAGCCTCTTAAGAGTATCAGTCTACATTGGCTCACTTTGCAGCTGTTATAGGTACAAATAGGTAGGATAGGTTGTCTTTGAAAGTCTGCTGCCATTCCTGAAATACGATTTGTAAATTGAAGAGATTGGAAACATACGAGTTTATAAATAATAATAATAGTGCTTTGTAAAATGTAAGCTTTTAAAAAGTATCTTTTAGAAAATATTAACTATTAGTTGGCAGTGTTTTGAGAACAGATTCATGCACATGTGAACAAGAGTTCCTTGCTTGTGTTTTTTTGCTTGTTTTAAAATATTAGAGATTGCAAAAAAAAAATATTAGAGATTGCAACTGTAGTATAAATTTTATATTAAAATAGCAAAAATTTTTAAAGAAAAAGCAAACTCACTGATGTTGAGTCAATTCCAAATCATAGTGGCCCTGCTGCAACCCTGGTCGTGAAGTGAGTTATGCCTTAGGCTGCAAAATCAGTAGTTAAAACCACCAGCTGCTTTGTGGGAGAAAGATGAGGTTTTCCGCTTCTGTAAAGATTTACAGTCTCAGAAACTGACAGAGGCAGGCTTGCTGTGCCCTATAAGGTCCAGAATGTCCTTGATGGCAGTGAGTTTGGTTTTTGTTTATTTTTGAGCGACCCTATAGGACAGGGTATAAGTGGCCTAGCAGGATTTTCCCAGATTGTAAATTTTTATGGAAGCAGATTGCCACATCTTTGTCTTGAGGAGTGGGTGGTAGGATCATACTTTGGTTAGCAGCCGAGTGTTTCAACGGTGTGCCACTGGGGGGTTCTAATGAAAATCCAGAGGCATAAAAGATGAGGGTCCCTTTTGTGTTTATAGATCTGCTGATGTGTGCGTTAAATGCCTACTGTTTTTCCTTATTGGAATTAGTATTTTGTTAACTCTTGATTTATGTATTTTCTAAAATTCTGACACCTGGTGGTTAAGATCTGTCTGTCCTGGAATCCTCCAGAAAGTTTTACCTTGGCAGAGGCAGAGTAAGGTGAAAAAATGAGTAAACTACGGCTATACTTTTAAAATCATTGACAGTATGTCATCATGCCTGCCCTCCCTCTCTTTCCCCAGGTGAAACTTTTGAAATTACTTTGTAGGGGGTGTGTTAGGCAGATATCAAAACCACAAATGAAAACAAAAGTTACGTTTAGGTATCATTGTAATCACTGTACATACTGAGCACACAGGTTGGGTGGTCTGGGGAGGGAGGTGTTGTAATTGTGACAATTACATTGACCATCCTAATGTTTTCAAAATTGCCTGTGTAAAGGTGAGACTGAATTTTGTGTTGAAATAATAGCAATGGCTTAAAATCAGTTTATTGTGGATTTAGGTGGGGACACTGACAGATTTGTGATCTTCAGCTGTGGCTGATCTTCATAGTAGCCGTACTCACAGTAGCTTCTAAATGGAGCTTTCATAAGTGAAATCTAAATTAGTTATACTGTAGTTCTCTGGGGTTATTGGTTTAAACACCAAGGATTTTATTTGTTGGGTTTGGGAGGTAGATGGGCAACTTGAATCTCTTGGAACTTTTAATAAAAGAGCTTACCGAGAAGTATAATTATACCTATTAGATAGGAACTGGAAACACAGGGAATCCAGGGCGGATGATCCCTTCAGAACCAGTGGTGAGAGTGGCGATACTGGGAGGGTAGAGGGAGAGTGGGTTGGAAAGAGGGAACCAATTACAAGGAACTATATGTGACCTCCTCCCTGGGCGACGGACAACAGAAAAGTGGGTGAAGGGAGACATCGGACAGGGCAAGATATGACAAAATAATAATTTATAAACTATCAAGGGCTCATGAGGGAGTGGGGAGCAGGGAGGGAGGGGAAAAATGAGGACCTAATGCCAGGGCTTTAAGTGGAGAGAAAATGTTTTGAGAATGATGAGGGCAATGAATGTACAAATGTGCTTTACACAATTGATGTATGTATGGATTGTGATAAGAGTTGTATGAGCCCCTAATAAAACGAATTTAAAAAAATGATAAGAAGGAAATAAATAATCACAATAAAAAAAATAATGATGGCAACATATATACAAGTATGCTTTATACAATTGATGTATGGATTGTTATGAGAGCTGTAAGAGTCCCCAATAAAATGATCTTTAAAAAAAAATAATTACACCTGTAAATTTCACTCATTGTCAGTTAATTCAGTGATATTAATACACTTTAAAAGTTGCACAGCCATCAACACCGTTCAATTTTAGAACATTTTCATCAGCCCAAATGTTTTTTATGCAAATTTACAAATTAATTCCTTCTCTTACTCATCAGCCCTAGCCAATCAATGATCTGCTTTTTGTGTCCATAAAATTGCCTTTTTCTATATACTTATATAAATGGAATCAGACAAGTTATAGTCTTTTCATCTGTCATGTAGTGTAAGACTTTTAAGGTTTATACATGACAGCATGGATCAGAAGCTCCTTCCTTTTAATTGCTAAATAATATTCCATTTTGTAGACCTGACCATGTTTTGTTTACCCATTTACCTGGTGATTGGAAATTTGGATTGCTTCTGGTTTTTGGCTGGTGTGACTGATGCTGCTGTCCTGGTGGTGTAGTGGTTAAGTGTTAGGCTACGATATGCATGGTCTGCAGTTCAAAACCACCAGCAATTCTGGGGAGAAAGAGTGGGCTTGCTATCCTCGTAATCCGTTACAGTCTTGAAAACCCACCGGGGGCCACTATGAGTTAACTTTGACGCATGGCGGTGAGTATACATTTACATGCACGCCTTTGTGTGGACATGTTTTCATTTCTCTTAGAGAGTTTCCCAGGAGTGATGAGTTTAACTTTTAAAGAAACTGCCTAGTTCTTCTCCAGAGTGTACCATTTCCCACATCTTAAGCAGTATTTGTTGGCTTTTTGATTAGAGTTGTTCTGGTGGGTGTGTAGTGGGAGCTCATTGGGGTTTTAAGTTGCATTTCCCTAATGACTAATGGTGTTAGCATCTTTTCATACACTTAACTAACCATTCTGATTGGTGAAATAGCTATTTTGATTTTTGCTTGCTTTTGGCCCATTTTTAAAAATTAGATTGCCTTATTATTGAGCTGCGAGCATTCTTTATACATCCCAGCTACAAGTTCTTCATCATATATAAATTGCATATATTTTCTCCCAATCTGTGGCTTGCCTTTTCATTTTCTTAATGGTATTTTCTGAAGCATAACAGTTCCTATTTTGAGTGATCTTTCTATCAGGGCCTTCTTTTATAGATTATGCTTTTTATGTATCAAAGAACCCTTTCCTCAACCTAAGGTCATTATTTTCTCCTATCTTTTCTTGCTTAGAACTTAAAAAGGATTAGAGCAATTAATTGGTTCTTTTTTTTTTTCTTGGATGAGCTCTGAGTTAAAAGGAATGTTGTGCTGGAAGACTATTCCGACTTTTAGATCTAGAACAAGACAAAATGGGTGACTTGTGCTAACTACAGCAGACACCTGAGAATAATGTTTTAACTTTGTGACTGCGAGTTTTCCATTTTGTGACGGAATCAAATAAACTTAATTCCACCCTTCTGTTTACCGTGTAGTAGCTGGATCTTATGGATTTATCTGCTGAAGACAAATTTTTTTCCCACGTCTGCTTCTTGTTTTACTGCATTGTTTAGATTGTCTCTGCCAGGGGTTAGAAAGAAAGCCATCTAAATTAAATCACACTAAATGTGAGACTAATGACCCTTTTTAACCCTCTCAGAGGAATATCTGTTATTAAAAGGATTAATAATATAGTTCTCAAAATTGGCAGAATTTCATTTGAACAAGTGAGTTTTAATGGATTTTAGGAATGCGGGGAAGATGTTTGAAGTCAGGCTCATTAATATAGGCAAGTGGGTTTTGCTTGAGGACTTATTTCTAGTATTGGATCTCTAGAGGATTCCTGTTCTACATCCGAGTCCACAGGCCCTTTAAGCATGCACTCTCCATAACTTGCTCAGTATATGAAATCACTATATAAAGAAATCGAGTTTAAAGTTTACTTACTTGCCTGACAGTCACCCAGCTGATTAATAGGCCCCATTCTTTTCTGATATAGATCCCTGCCAGTTCTCATTGATAGTAGTTGTAGGCTGTGCTAACAGCAGATATGTTCATGTATATTCAAGACACTCTCTTATCCACAGGTTGCTCTGCTGTGATCCTTCGTCTTCTAAAGATGCATCCTGACTTGTCTCCACACCTGCACACTGAAGAATGCAACACCTTGATTAACTTGCTAAAGGAATGCCACAGAAATGTAAGGGTTCAGCAGAATGCCCATAACACAAGCATGAAACTTAAGTACAACACCATAGATTGTTTTCTCCATTAATGGAAGGGGATTTGGGAACATCTTAGTAACAGATCTTGGAGCTTAGTAAAGATAAGCAAGTGGTGTTCATGGTTTTCCCCAAACCACCTTCTTTGTGGCAGGTAAAAATCCAACATGAACGTTGGTTAGGGAACTTCTTGAAATAGTATGTAGTAGTTGGATTCCTTATTCTTACTTGAACAAAATGGAATTATTTTAAGACTTTCTTTTCCTTGATGGCTACCATTCTTGATTAGAAGGAAATTGAAACATCTGATATAATTAGATGTTAACCACATCTACTTTATGATTGCTTAAGTTGACAAGCTTAATTTTTAGTGGAATGGAAATAAAATTACATAGTTAAAATCAAAATGGAAAAGAAGCTTCCTTGTCTTAATTAGTATTCACTACCTTATCTCTAGGTTCTAATACCCATTATAATGACTACACAGAACTCACACACAATATTCATGATTAAAGGGTTTGTTAAGGAAGTTGACAGGTGGCTGTAATACAAGTGAGAAATGCTCGGCATACTGTTGTTTATCAGGACCTGTAACAAAGTCCCTTCAGGTGTGCTAATAAATGCCAAAGGGGCATACTGCTCTGCTATGAGCCTCAACTCCAAGTCAGTCAGCTCAAGCTCTGGGGGTTAACAAAGCCAGCTCCCTGAATTAGGGGCACCCCACTCCAGTAAGCCTCAGTGTGAAGACACTCCGTTTCACCTCCCTAGGTCAGCAAGCCCAGCCTCCTCAATAAAGTGCCATGAGGCAGCCAACTACACAAACCAGCCTCCTGCACAAAAACATTCCAGCTTAACTTGGGTTGGGAAGGCTATCACTGTTGCATGCTCTGGCTCCTGATGCTGCTGCTGCTCCGCCATTGTACTGCTGTCATCTGGCTCCAGGAGGTTCACTGTACTCTTGCTGGTAATGAGATCCCTTCTCCTGCTTTTTAGAGGGCTAATTTTATACAGAGCAGATGGCAGTCTAGGGAATCCTGTTTGTAATTACTCACAGGCAAAACCTACTAGTATTTCCCCCCCACCTTCTCACCAGACCCATGCAGGACAAGGTCTTTTGGTGGGAGTTAGAGACTTTGTCTAGAAGAGCCACATTCAATAATACATTGCCCCTCCCTGTAAGGCCAGAACTTTCTGCTTATTTTTTGGAATTTTCTAATAATAAATATGTGCCCCTTAAGTTCTCAGTTGTTTAATCTATAAGATAGCTCTGAATTTGTGTAATTCTGTATTAATCATTTTTAGGTGATAAGCCATCATGCTGAATGCTGTTTGGGGGCTGCAAGGCGGCAGTACTGTCCAATCCCTTTGCAGTCTACATGGCTGTGTGACCTCCAAATGGCTTAACTCGCCAGGCTTTTGTCATTCTTGGTGTTCTTCATAGTCTTCTGTGGCTTTGTGGACACATGTCATTTCCACGCCTGTCACAGCCTCTGGCAGCCTCTGATTCCACTGGCCTGGTTTTGCCTACATTTGACAGCAAGAATCAGATTATCTATAGTCAGAATACAGAATTCAGAACAGCTGTTTTCTCCAAAGCTTAGAAGTACTGAGGTATTCTTCCCTGTGTGACTGCCAGTCTCTTCCAGCATTCTCTTACTGGGGCCACCTGTCACTGATCATAACCGCACTCCTGCTGTTGTGTGCTCCGTCCTCATCCACTTTCCAGAATCTGGAGTGATTGTTCGAAAATAACTTTATCCTTCCCCAGTGATGGCTTTTTTGTCTAAACTCTCACTGCCATCAAGCAGATTCTGACTCACAGCGTCGCTGGAGAACAGAGTAGAACTGCCCCCTGGGTGTTTCTGAGCCTGTAAATCTATAGGGGAGCAGAAAGCTTCCTCTTTCTTCCTCAGAGCACAGCGGTAGTTCGAACTGCTGACTGTGTGGTAACCCCCTACACCACCAGGGCTATAGAGAATCTAACGTTTCTAATCTGTGTTTCAAGGCCTTGTGAAACCACTTCCTGTATAACTCTTCAGGTTCACCTCTTCCATGTGCCCCTGAGCCCCATCCCTGTGTGTTTTCTGTAGCCATCCAGCCCTTTCATTCCAGAAATGGGCTATTTTCTCTCTTCTTAGCTGGGCCCTCTGCTTTTCTTTGAGAACATTCTCGCTGTCTTCACTCCCCATTTGCTAAACCAGCTTGTGTTCATCCTTCCGATTTTACTCCCTTTTCTCCTCTCCTGGCCTGGGTGCTCCTGACACAGCCACAGCGGACAGCAGTAGCCCCGCTGCTTTCCCACCTTTTGGTCTCAGGAGTCCTTTACACTCAAAAGATTATTGAGAACCCCAGGGTTTATTTATAGCTACCAGGGTGTACTGAATTGAAAATGAAAACATTTGCAGGTAGTGACTTATTTAAAATTGTAATCATAAACACTATTACATAAACTGTAACTATTACATGTTACAGTTATTTTTGATAAAAATCCCATTTTAGCAAAGTGCAGCTTTTGCTACTATCCGACTATCTGAAAAGAGTTGGATTGTCAGAGCTGCCTCTGCAGTCAATCTCTTGAAAGATTGCACTTCATGAGCCTGTGGAACACTCCTCTGTACGCTTGTGAGAGTGAAAGTGGGTGAACTAGACATGTAAAGGCTTTGTGTCATGAGGGTAATGGTTTTGACATTGTAGACACCCTGAAAAGGTCTTGGTAGCATCTGGGTGTCTCAACTGCACGTTGTGAACCATTGCTCGGTGGAAATCACCACATTCCTGGTCTCCTCTTTAATGAGTTGGACCATAGTCTCCATTGCCCACCGTCGTTCCTCTCATGCCTAAAACAGTGTCCTTCCTGGAGAAGGTACTCAGGGATCTGTCATTGAAGTCAAGAAACAAACAAGACACCAGGCACTAGGGACTTGCGCCATGTGTACACCCAGCTGACTGGCTGTTCCCTGGGGCATGTTGAGTTGAGTGGCTTCTATGTAGTGTCACAGAATGTAATTCTGATTTAGGCTCTGTGTTGAGAGGAGCCCACTGCTGCTGCATCAATTAATTCGTACTCTCAGTGACCCTGTAGACCAGAGTAGAACTTCCCCACGGACTTTTCTAGGTTGTATGTCTTTATAGAAGTAGACTGCTCCATATTTTGCCCATGGGGCCACTAGTTAGCAAGCTGACCACTTGGAATGTATACAGAGTAAAAGGAAATAAATGCAAATTAACTGAAACATTGCCATACATTCTAAAAGCCTGATTAATTCCAGACTACTTGACGAGAAGGTGTGTGAAAAATACATCATTCCTGTTTATTTGTTGGTAGTGAATTTATATAGGAAAATTATTTACTGAATATCGTGAAAATATCTTTAGATAATCATTAAGACCTCTCACTCACTCACTCACTTACTCACTCAATGCCATTCATATCAACCTGATAGGACAGAATAGAACTGCTCCCGTGGGTTTCTAAGGCTATAAATTTTTACAGGCTTAAACTGACAACCTTGTGGTTAGTAGTAGCCCAACATACTAAACTCTTAGTCTATCATAAAATTGCCAGAAAAATCCTCACTATTTATTTAGTGTGGACCAGGAAAGTATATATAAATAGCCAGAGGGGAGCAGGCATGCAGTAGGGAGGATATTGTATGAGGCACTTCCTACTAATTATGTGTTGTCTCAGTTCCATAAAAGCCTTCCTTTCAGAGAAAAGGGAAAGATGGGCTTCTTATTAAAACTGCAAGTCCATTGTTAGTGGCCTGTTGTGATGGAGCTTGCCGCATTATCTGGCCCGCCCTAAAAATGGTGGCGTGCATACACACTCATTAGGGGCACTACTGAAGTCTTCAGTGATCTTCATCCTAACTTGCTTTGCAGAACTCATAATTTAGTCATAGGACCTGAAGCTACAAGGAAATTTTTTATGATTGTTTTTAAGCCAAACAAACTTTGAACTTCAGATTTTCTTATATTGTGATTGATTGAGGTTTTAATATGTTTGTTTCTTATGGGCTGGACAGACCACCAGCCACTGGTTCAAACCCACAAGCCACTTTGAGGGAACAAGATGTAGCAGTCTGCTGCTTTAGAAATGTCCAGCCTTACAAACCCTGTGAGAGCGGTTTTGCTTTGTCCTGTGGGGCTGTTGGAGTCAGATGGACTTGACAGCAATGGGGGGATATAGCCCACCTAATAGTAGTGTTAGGTATCTCTGATGTGTTCTGAAAGATACTTTGAATGGAGGCAAATGAGAAAATGGCTCTGCCACCAGCCATTTATTAAATCACTTTTCTGTGGCTTAGAGTGAAGTAATTTACTTTTTGTTCATCGATGATGAGGTCACCGTGCAGCCTGACCCCTTCTTGGAATGGAAGGTAAGCTGTGCTGTGTTTCCAGATGTGCTTTCACGGACGGAGTACCAAGGAGATAAAACTGCTCTCACTTTATTAGGTGATACTGGCTCAATCATTCTCCCTTTTATCCAGGAAAAGAGAATCTTTAATTTTCATTTCTTAGAGAACATTTGATCCTCCTTTGTAGGAAGAACTAGATACTTGGTAGGAAAGACCAAATCAAGCCTGTTTGTATAATTTCGTTTAATTGTTAACCTGAAAGTACACAGATACACAGTCTGCTTCTGGTCTGATTATCAACAAGAAAACCTATGGAACAGTTCAATTCGGTAACAGGCAGGCCTGCCAGGAGTCAGAATCCACTTGATAACAGTTAATAACAATACATGTGATTTATGTAGTTTTTACTTATTTCCAAGTGGCACATTAAACCTATTTTGTTAGGAATAAGTTGTAAGTTTTGTATGCCAGAGACCTTCACATAATATGGGGCGAAATATCTTATCCCCTTTCTTCTCTTCAGCACAGCGTTCTGAAATTTTTTGGTCATTGCAATGATCTTGATCGGGAGATGAGAAAATGCCTGAAAAATGAGGTAAGAAAAGCATCAAAAAGTAGAAGTACACCTTGTACATCCTCTTCTCACTTATCAACTTGGTTGGGTTCCAAAGACAGGTCATTATTAGAAAATCAGCATTCAAAAGCGGAAGGTTAACTATATCATTATGGAGCGCCAACGATACACAGCCCTAACTCTCACAGCTAGCATTACCCTCCACCTACCACAGATGTGTACGCTCATGTGCACAAGAGACAGATTTCTGTAATGCAAAATGCCAGATGGCAAAACAGTCATTAAATGAGGAAAGAGTATGGTTACAATAGGACATAACCTAACAATATTATATCTATTGCTGCCATCATTAAATTTGTTCCAAGTTTTAGTGTGATAGGAGCTTGACTTTATATGTGTGCCCTCCTCTAAAACCAGGAATAGTGAAAGTTGCATCTGGTACAGATTTAGGACACTGCTGATTTTTGGCCACGCACACAAATGAAATTTTTCTTCTAGTTACGATGACTCATCTGAGCTTAAGGTTTGGAAAATCGAATCACTGCTCAGCAGAAACACTTAAGTTTGCTAACTGTTAAGGGCCTCAGTTTCCTCATGTGTTGTATCAGGAAGTTAGACTTTAGACTCTTTCCCCTTTAAACTTTGGAACGCCTTTGTTTTGTATAAGCCACAGGGATCTCCCTTGACTTGTTTGGAAAGACTCACCCCTCACCCCTATTGAGAAGAGTAGAACTGCTCCTGTGGGATTCCAAGGTGGTTAAGGGAGTAGAAAACCTCACCTTTTTTCACCAGGAGCGGCTGGTGGTTTTGTACTGCCGAACAGGACTGGGTTAGCAGTCCAACGTGACACCACTACACCACCAACGCTCCCCCTGCCCCCTTAGATCTTCATTTTTACGTGTGTGTGTAAGAGAAAACTTTATATCAAACAGCAATTGTACTTAAAGAAAACATTTCAGCCCAGTCCAGATCAAGTCCATAAGTCTGATATTACCCCTTATGTCGATACTAGTCCATAAATTCCTCTTTAGACTCACACAGCCCTGCAATGACTCTGAATGCAGGAAGATCACAGGTCAGTGGGTAGAAAGTCTTGTGCATCCAATGGTGTTAGAAGCTTCTCAGTCCTGGCACGGGTCTCCACATGGCTCCTCCAGCTCCAGGGCTCCAGATGCATCAGCATAGCTCCATGTGGCTTGTCAGGAATATGAAGCAGAGAGTGTATCTGACCTCCAGTGAGCTATTTATCCCTTTATAGTTTAATAATTTTGTCATTGGCTTGGTGATTGGATCTTCAAATAGTATTTTCTGCCCAGGAGTTTCAGATCTCTGTTGGTGACTGTTTTGGTAGAATGTTTTGTTGTGTGTATTTTTTTATTCCTCTACAAAAATCATAGAAACCTTTATTACACAAAAATACCAAACATGAAGCTATTGTTTCTCAGCCTGCCCTCCATCTAAGTCCACACACCTCTGAAGATAATATTTCTATCTCTCTCCCTCTTCCTTCAAGAAATTCTGTGCATTTTAATCAACACCATGTCAAAACTCAATTTAGCCATCATCAAAGGACTAAAATTATCTTCCCTTTCTTTTTCTTTTTACAAATTAGTTTTTAAATTGTGAACTAAGTGGGGGGTTTATATTTCAGACCATCAAACCTGCTTTCAGCAGTTCAAACCACTCAACCCCTCATTCTATCCTCCCCTGATTTCTCTTCTCCCTCTTATAGAATTCCATCCTCCCTTCCACCCAAGTCATCATCTGTTAACCTGAGATTATTTAGCCTAGTTCCGTACAGAGGAGGATACTTGCCTAGAAGAGATAAATCAATTAAAGTCTTGACTCTATACAATCATTTATCTCAGGGGCAAGGGGATGGGCAGGGGCCAAGTTCTGTAGCCTCTTTGATCACATCTTTGAATCCTAAAATTTTTTATATTCAACCATTCATCATTAAAATCTGTCTATTGGTGTATATGTTATAAACATGTAAATATATATTCATGTACATATGTGTGTGTATATATATAAACATTTTTACTCAAATTATCTACTTTATATGTAGGCTTCACTGTTTAAGAAATTCTGAGTATTATCTAATTGCTAGACTTGTGTTTTTTTATTACTTATAACCTGTGGTCAGATTCAAATACTAGGCCTCAACCTTCCCCCCCTGATGAAAACTGAGTTCAGATCTATTTGATTATGGAGAAAAGATTTGGGGAAAATCAAGTTTGATGAATATTTGTGATTAGAGAAAACCAACTTGGTAAACTCACTCAACCCTAAGTTTCCGTATGAGTTAATAGGGTAATATGGTTGCTTAGATCCAGCTTCTCCTGAGTAATATTTATAGAGATATATGCATCTAGGTCATTAGGACTCAGAGGCATACTGTAGTCCACATCTACCAGACTACATCTGGAGGACTGTGTTTGAATTTGTTTGTGCTCATTAAAAAAACCAAAAAACGATGGGGCATTTTATCGATGTAGAAAGGTGGTCTGTGGAGCCAGGGTTATGCTCAGCCTGTAGAAGAATAAGCCAAGATAATGTCTGGATTAGTTATAGCCAGATGTTTGAAAGAGCATTGGAGGATGATAGCATTTATAGGGACACAATTTTTT